TTGCTGTTCTGCACTTTAAACCAAGTGAATGAAGCCTTTACATCCAAGGTTAAATTTACAGAGGTAAAGTAAACCCTAACAATAATCTTCTGTTATTTGCTTCCGTTTGGTCTGTTAAATACTATTGAACATGTTTTGTTATACCTGTTTGATTATTGCAAAAAAAAAAAAAACAAAACATTTGATTCTGGCAGACATGCAGTGTCCTCTGCCTATGCTACACCAGGGGCGGACTGACCATTTGAACATTCGGGCCCGGGGTCAGTAGGGGGCCCCATAAAATTCCCCTGGTACATTTTATAGGCTTTTTTGGGTGTGTTTTGAGTGTGGGCAAGGACACAGGGGCCCCATGATCCCCAATTGCCCGGGGGCCCCATGAGTTGTCAGTCCACCCCTGTGCTACACTAAAATCTCAAGCAGTTTTACCAGCTCTGCTCCTTAGTCCAAACACCCTTCTGGTCCTTTTTGTCCTAGGGTGACAACGCTACTCCTCCCTAAATTATGTAAAATGAGCAAACAATCAAAAGTTAGTAGCAGGAGGCAGGATCACTAGAGAAAATCAAAAGAAAATAAAAAAGGCTGATAAAACAAAAGCAAACTAATTCAGGCACAAAATTTAAGGACTGATAAGTAGGGGTGTGTGTGTGTGCGCGTACGCACGTTCCTTCCCTTTTGTTTTCACCTAGTGATCTTATTAGGAAGAAAAATATCGTCCCGTTGTGACAATGCTTGGTCACTGTACTGTACAGAGATTAGCTGAGTAGTGTTGCCACCCTACATTGTTCTCTTGATTTGGACTACAAATTCTTCCTCCTCTCCATCACATAGAGGTCAGTTTATAGTTCACAGAAGATTGCTTGCAAAGCTATTAACATTATCTGAGATATCAATTCAGTATACAGGAAGGTTCAAGGAGTCTGGATTTCTATTACGATAAATGGATATTTTTCTGTACTTGCAGAAATTGTATTTAGCCTTAAAAAATCTCTCGAGCAGGACCCAGAAGATCACTGTAGTAACTACAGAACTTTTCAGTTTCCCCACAGCCCATTAGGTATTTCAGTTATGCATACTTACCTTGTGGCAAACTGGAGCATTGTAAGTATACAATACAGATCATTTCTGGAGTTCAGCTGAATTGTTACTCAGTTTCTCTTCATATTAGTCTCTTGTAGTTTCCTTACTGTCAAGCTGATGCTTTAGGAACATGTACAGAGATAAGGAATTTTGAAACTTTTTTTGTCACTCATTGTGGTAGGGTCTGTGACTCTAAAGTACTGAAGTTGAGGAAAGTGGAATAAAAGCTTTGAACCTGTAAGATTATTTTATTTGTATTACTATCTTAAAGTACTGATATTGATGTAAAAAATCTGGTTCCTGGGCAGGCAGCTTCTACACCCCAGGGGATCTTCACAGTCTTTTTGGCTTGCAGTGAAATATAACAAAAATGTAAACTGAAGCACCACACCACTACTAAAAAGTCCAGATACAACCCTATTCCAATAAATGTTAGGGGGACGATTCAAAAGTAACCAAAGCCTTCTGGGATAAAAAAAACAGCTCCTTGATCACGGCCTGATTGAAAACAATGTGATCAAACTTGAAGCAAACTTCACATTTATTGGCATTTCTTCCAGAGTGATTATAAGCATTGTTGCCAAATCTCCTGCTGACCAATTCTATGCTTGTAATCACAATGGAAGAAATACTATTAAAGGTCCAGTTCTCTTCTAGTCTATTCACATTGTTTTCAATCAAGCCCTGAAGAAAGGGTCAACTCCTGAAACGCTCTGGCTAATCTTTGAATTGACCCTTGACTTTTATTGGAGTAAAGTCATATCTAGAACTTTTAGCAGAGGTGTGGTGCTTCAATTTAAATTATCGCCAAAAGTACTGAAGTAAACTATAGCCAAGCATTGACTAGTAATGGCAGCCTTTATTGAAAAACAATACAGTTAATGTGGCTGACCAATATATCATTTAATTAATGGCACTGCAAGTATTTTTTTTTTAAATTAGTTTTGGTTTAAAACGTTTAATAAAACTAATGACAATTTGGTACAGTTTTAGAAATTTGTAAAATGATAACTTTCCCCACCACTACCAGTTAGAACTCACCTTTCTTTTTGTTCTGACTACGCCACACAGATAGAAAGTAAAATCTGAGTGGCTGCTATAGTAAACTGTTGTTTGTTCTTAGCTAGTTAATGATATATAAACTAGACCCAAGAACAAATACAAGTATGTAACATATTGTAAATACCCAGGGGCATTCCTAGGGTTGGTGTCAACCGGTGCGGTAACAGTTGGTTTCACCACTCCAACGATCCCCACAGGATGGATCGGATCTGTGGATTGAGCATAATGGATTAGATCCATTATGCTCCCCAATCCACAGATCCGATCCATCCTGCGGGGATCATCGGTTTGCAACCTATACAGGGTTAACTGATCTCTTCATGAGCTCCATGAAAAGGAAAGTTTTAAAGCAAAAACTGACAATCCCCACAAGATGTATCAAATCTGCTGATTGGGGAGCATAATGGATCAGACTCCGATCCATTATGCTCAATCCGCAGATCCGATCCATCTTGTGGGGATCGTCAGCTTACATAAAAACTTTCCTTTTTGTGGAGCTTGTAGAAAGGGTCCGGTGTCACCCCGTGAGATAGGTGTCACCCCGTGCGGCACGCACCCCCCCGCACCTGCCTAGGGATGCTACTATAAATTACCAGTACTTAGATGTGGTGGCTTTTTTAGGGCTCGTTGACACTTGCTTCAACTTTAACACACATTAAAGCGCCTACCACTTCAACATGCTTTTTTGATGTGTTTTGGATGCTTCTGTGATGCTTCAATGATGATGTTTTTTTTGAAACTTGGCAATTCCCTGCGTGTATTGATTTTTAATTTGTTTTAAAGGGGGCTCAGTAGTACCCTTGTACAGCAGATGCCCAGCTCAATGGTGTCCTTGTTCATCAGATCCCCAGCTTATTCCAGATCCCAGCTTTAGCATATTCCCTGCCCAGTAGTACCCCCATTTTTGCTGATCCCCCACTCAGTAATAACCCCTAGCTCTGTTGATCCCCCTGTCAGGAAACAAGTGCAGCTAATGGTAATTCTCGTGCAGCTAAGGCTCATTCCCGTGCAGCTAATACTGATGCACATGTACCAGAACACAGACAAGCTCAGGTTAAATATCCAACGTGCACTGACACATAGACGCTTTTGTGTGCATCAGCGCACTTGCCCTCCCGCATTGGCGCCAAGCTGCCTATTTAAAAGAGACCCTGCTGTGTGCTAATTGCTGCATGTTCTTCAGCTCCCCATGATCCGTGTTCCTGCTTACTGATCTTTTCTGTTGCTAACTTGACTTGTTCCTGTGCTTGCTCTGTGGATTCTAGATTCTGACCTCAGCTTGAATCTGACTATTTGCTGCCTGATCTCCTGGTGCTGACCTAGGCCTGCTTCCTGACCACGCTGCTTTCTCACCATGTATGATCCTGGATCATCTTGACTACGTCCCTGACCGTGGCAGTCATCTGCTATCAAGCTACCAGCACCCATGCTTCCTTGAGTCTTGTACCTCTGTCACCACATTCAGGTGTGTTTGGACCAGAGCTGCAAGGGAAGTCCTCTGGTCAACTTGGCCTCCAACTAAGGTACATGACATCCTCACTCAGTAGTAACCCCCAGCTCGGCTGATTCCCCACTCAGTAGTAACCCCCAGCTCTGCTGATCCTCTGATTTGCGGATTCTCTTCTCTCTCCGGTCCCAGCTCATCTTCCGCTATATTGTTTCATGCTGCATACCATGTGTGACATTGTTTCTCCTACTCCGGCCCCCGAGCTTTGCTGATCCTCTGTCCTCTCTTTCCAGTCCCTCTCACCTTCTGCTATAGCGTCCCATGTTGCACACCACATGTGCCATCTACTAGTTGCTCCGGTCTGGACCCTGCTCACCTTCCTGCTGCTCCACGCTGCACACCAGATGTGACTTCTGCACCAGACACTTCCAAAATATATACACATGAACCAGAAGTGACTGCTGATTACATCTTTCTGGTTCACTTGTTGGTTTCCCAGTGTGTCCTGGGATATCTCAGACCAGCAATACCTCCAAAACAAAGCAAAGCTAACTCTGAATAAAAGCCTCTCAAAAGCTGCATAGACTTCTATGGAGGCTTTGGAGAAGCTTTGAAACACCAAGAGAGTGACATGGGGTATAATTTTTGAAGCAAAGCAAAGAAAACACAACAGGGCTGAAGGCCTATTATTTTATTTAGTGACGTGCTTTGATTAGCATTCAGAGTGCTTTAAAAAAGCATGTCCAGTGCCACATTTTGAAGCAAGTGTAAATTAGCACTTAGGCTTTATTCCTCTATTTTCACCTGGTCGTCTTTCCAGCAACACATTTACTGTCCTAGAGTGACTCTGCACGCTCACTGTACTTTATCTATAGAGAAGCAATGCTGTCCTCATAATACAAAACTACAGAACACCCCAACCCTCCTCTGCTCCAGGAGGGTAGGGGTTCTGTAGTCCTCGGAGAAAGCTGGAGTCAATGTAACTAGAGATTAGCACTAGTAGAAAGCACAGGAATCTATCAACTGATAGTATTTCTGGCAGGATCCAAAGGCATTTTTGCACCTATTAAACAGATAGAACAAAACACTTTCAATTGTTTATTTTTCCACTCAAAGGGGACCAAATAAGAGACATTCACTGCTTCAGTTTACATACAATTTAAAGGGCTGTGTATTGCAATATCAAATCAATCTGAACATTTTCCAGAACTGCTCCATGCCTTTGAATAAATACAGACATTTGGATTGCAACTATTTAAATATTTAGATAGCACCATTTAATACCTTAAGGCAATAAAATGTCTTTTTGTTGCCAACCCCTTGTGTAAAGTTATTGACAGCAACAAAGCAATACATGTGAAAGCATTCTCTGCCTAATGAGACCTCAGGATTATTACAACGTGCAAAAACTCACTCCTTGGATTCACGTGTCCGCTTGGTAACACGTTGTACGAGCGTGTCATAGCCAGATCCCTCTCCTTGACTCTGTGCAAAGGTGCACCTCTCAGTCTCATCTTCTATTACAGATCCTAGAGAGCTCTTGATGTAATGTCTCAGGTACTTTACCAGTTCATAGCTGAAACAAATGGAGGAAATTGTTAAATAAAGTAATCAGACAATTTTACCTTCCATTAATGATAATGGGAATCACATTGACAAGAATTAAAATTCCATGGTTACAGGTGAAACAAGTAATATGAACAAATCAGAACAAAAGAAAACAATTATGATTTAGCTTGTAGTGCCATCTTCTGGTACATTTGGTAAGTACATCTGCTGATATCTAGCAAATAGTATTTGTATTATATTAGTATTTGTCTTCATGTGAACATTTAAGATCCTGAAACATTTTTATAGTATTAAGGGTTCATGTAAACTGCAGCTGATAAACTCACGTTCAGGAGGTTTTTTTAGTAGCCCCTGAACTCTCCCTAATGTTTTCCTATGTGCCCATGTACACTATGCCATTTACAGTCGTTTACAGGCAGTGGTTTATAGTCGTTTTTTTTTAACGCACCAAAGATTGCGTTCAGGAGTAGATTTTATCAGCATTTCAAACGCCAAATGCTTGTAAACACGGCTAACTGCATTTATAAGCGTTTGTGTTTAGAAGCGTTTTTTTTAACTGTTCCATATCCAGATGCTGTCCAGAGCCCTTTTTCATCATCAGAAATGCATGCAAAGTGTTTTCCATGTATTCAAATGGACCTAGTACACCAGCGCAGTCAGTTGCAGGTTTTGCGTGAAGGAAAAAATGGTAGAATATGCTGCATATGCTCATGATGGGATCCATAGTAATTACAACCAGAAAAGACAGGTAATCTCAACACATACTACTCTCTCTGCTTCTGCTCTCTCTCTATTTCTCTCAAAATGTCTGAAATGGTTAATTGTTTACTATTTTTCAGTCCATTCTGGGCATTTTGGAAGGTCTCCTGAGGTTACCTTTGAAAAACTCTTCTAAACGCAAACGCTCATAACTGCGCATAAACGCGGTATGCAAATGCGGCTAAACAGACGTTTTTAACCTACATTTTCCAGCAGTCAGTTTCCATCGTTCAGAAGTGTTTTCCAAACGTCCCGTGTACATGAAGCCTAAAACATACCAGTGAGGACAACATAACAGGACCATTTTAAAGGAGAAGTAGGGCCAAAGTTCTTCGTTCTATACTCCTGTGACCCAGATTCATCCAACAGCGGGCTAAAGTCTGCTGTCAGCTGGTGTCACTCAGCCAGTCCAGAATTCTAGAGAAAGCACACAGAGCATAATGCCATGCAGCGCTAGTAAGCACATGATGCCAACACAAACCTCTAAAGTCAATATTGCCCAAATGAAATCTCCTGTAAAATGGTGAGAATAGATTCCAGGTGCAGGAACACTAAAGGCTACCAGAACACGGTGCAAGAAAGGTGTGTTCTGTGTGCGTTTCCCGCACTGCGCTCACAAAGCACTGCCTTTTCAATCTGATGTGGGTGCTAATATAATCTTAATGGCACCCCAAATGCAAATCACCAATGCAGTGCATTTGCAGGTACTATATTGGCACGTTTTTGAAAAGTAGTACATGAGCTACTTTTTCTGCATTCCAGTGCAGTTTGCATCCCATTCAAATTAGTTGGCTGAAAAATGGCACTGCAGAGGAATGCACAGGAGTGCAGGTGTGAATTGGCCCTAAGTGATCACAGTCTTACCATTCACTTAGCTGGTAAAGAAGCCATAGTAAAATAGCCTGTCCTCTATTAACGTCCTGCAGAAAAAGTTTGCTCTCCATGTGCAAGCAGTAGACTGACAAGGTCCCTGTAAATCAGCTTTGATAATTTGGAGGACTATCCACTAGACAATGCAAAGCAATTCCACACTGCGCCTGCATTTTGGGTTCCATTCATAAAATGCAGATTGTGGAGTGGAGCCTGCAGATAAAACTAGAACATCTTCAACAACTTCCCATCCAGCGATGTAACAGTACATCACTGAATTGGGAGGATGATATCTCGCCCATCACTGCAGCTGCAGCACTGATCGAGATATCCTTTTTTAGTGGCAGCAATTCCCTTCAATGTAAAAGTAACCCTGGTGGCTAAGAAGCCACTGGATTACTTTTACAACAGTGGAAGAGAGTCCCACCACCATCTCGCTACCCCCCGCCTTTACCTGGCTCTCCCGTGCGATCGTGGAGCTCAGTAAGTGTGTGACCAGCAGTATCCCGTTTTTGGTACAATATTGGGAGAATGGATGTTGTTCCTTCTACTGTGTGACGTCAGAAACTAGAAGCGACTAGGACTTTGTCACTTCCGGATTCGGTCTCCTGTAAACAAGCTGTTACCGGCTTCAACAAGCATCTGATCAAACTGATCTTGATTTGATCAGATGCTTTGGAGGCCAGAGGAGAAATATGGGGTCTAACAGACCCCAGGTCTCTTCATAAAAAGGACCTGTCATGGCCAATGTTATCACAAGGAATATTGCTCATCCCTTCCGACAGAAATAAAATAGATTAAAACATAAATAAATAAAAAAAAACAATAATAATAGAAAAATAAATACAATTAAAAACCTCTTAAAAAGTCCCCTTCCCCTCTGCTCATACGCAAATGTGAACATGCATGTAGGTCCTGCACGCATATGTAAACAACAATCTCACCACAGGTGAGATATCGCAGCAAACGCCATAACGAGGGAAATTATTTTATCGCCAGACCTCTTCTGTAACTCTAAACTGATAACATCTAAAGGCTTTTAAATCGTAGCCTATAGAGATTTTTAGGTACCATAGTGTTCCATCGTTCCACAGGCAGGCAAATTTTAAAGTGTAAAATGTTTGGTATCAATTCACTCGGCATAACATTATCTTTATTATTTTACAAAACAGTTTGTGTTTTTGTGCATTAAATCTCATTAAAGTGTATGTTTTCCAAAAAATAATTGTTTGACATAAAAATATGCAACACTTAAAAAAATATGTAAATGTTTGGGGGTTCTAAGTATTTTTCTAGCACAAAAAAAATATGTTTTTACATGTAAAAGCGGAATATCAGAATTGGCTCAGACTGGAAAAGGTTAATAGTTTAAAAATTGGTCATGTGATTTAGGTCACATGACCAGGCTGTCATTCATTTGAATAGTGCTCCACTTACCTTGGAGTCCTAAAGTAAACAAAGTAAACTAAAACAATCGATATTTAACCACTTGCATGCCTAAGGATTTACGCCCCTTCCTGACAAGGCCATTTTTTGAGTTACGGCGCTTCATTACTTTAACTGACAATTGCGCAATCATGCAACGCTGCACCCAAATGAAATTTACGTCCTTGTTTTTTGATGAATTGAGCTTTCTTTTGGTGGTATTTGAATGCCTATGCGTGTTTTATTTGTTTCTCTATAAAAAAAAAAAAGACTGACAATTTTGAGAAAAAACTATGTTTTTTACTTTTTGCTATTCACATGTCCAGTAAATCAAATTTTGTCGGAAATCTAGGCCAAAATGTATTCTGCTACATGTCTTTGCTAAAAAAAATCCTAATACGTGTAAATTATTTGGTTTACGTAAAAGTTATAGCATCTACAAATGGTGGTATAGATACTGGAATTTTTTTTTTTTTTTTTACTAGTAATGGCGGCGATCAGAGACTTATAGCGAGACTGTGGGACTGACATTCTGACACTGGGGGGAACTATCTTGGTGTCACTGACATCCCCAGTGACACCAATACAGTGATCAGTGCTAAAAAAAAACAAAAAAACTGCACTAATGGCACTGGGCAGGAAAGGGTTAAACATGAGGGGCGATCAAAGGATTAACTGTGTGCAGGGAGTGTTTTACTAGGGGGGCCATGTCAGTGTTCTTCACTGTAAGCACACTGCTTTGGATAGCTGTGCTGTGCACAGCCATCCAAAGTAGTGTGCCTGAGCTGACAGGGAGAACTGTTAGTAAACAAAACAGTCCTCCTCCCCATTGGAGATGCTCGGTAAGCATCGGGCGCCAGCGGGTAATCACTGGCCAGGAAAAACAAAGTGGCAGTTGACTAATGCAAACCCGCCTGAAAGATGGTTATTAATATCCTATGCGGAGTAATATATCACTACATAAGTGAATGCAATAATGAATTTATTAGATCACATGGATCATGAAAAAGGTGGACATGGACATGGTGAACATGTGACAATAATGTTTAAAATCAAATAATTAAAATAAAAAAACGTTTGTCGTCTTCAAAATGGCTGTATGGGCAGAATTGATCAATGCGAGGCTGTAGGGATTCTTCTATATTCATCAGATGAAATTTCCTTACTGGATGACTAGTAAATTCGTTTTCTACTTTAACTGTTCCTTAGTGAACTTTAAAATATGTATGGATAGGTTCTTAGGAATAAATGGTGGATTATCATGAATTCAGGAGAATCAAAAAAGGCTTGTCATCTTCATGTCAACCTAATAGGATGCACATATGCAGGTTAATTAGATTAGAGTATACATCTCATTACCTCCTTTGTAGGTGTGCCATATCAACTAAATAGTGGGTAATTATTTTCTTGAGTAACCAGCAGTGATGGAAATAAATCATTATATTAAATGGTTCTAAAAGTGAAATAAATAAAGAGTACAATGAAAAAAAAAATATATAAAGTGGTGCATGAGTATAATGCATATATGATTAATGTGAATTTATCATTAGGGAAATCTGTAAAAATCCCACTGATAAAGCGAAGAACATTGATACATAGGTAATGGTGTTGAAGTCCAAAGATGTGAGTATAAGGATCTCAATAGATTGCATTCAGACCTTCATGGTTCCTTTAGATGTGCCCCTCTAGGGGTTCCAAAAATTCCTCAATGTTCTTCACTTTATCAGTGGGATAAATGCACTACATGCATTTCTGCAGCATCTCTGTTAAAGTCTATTGGACCAAAAATGCAACGTTTTGCGTTTAAAAAAGTCCCTGACCCTTTCCAAAAAATGCACTGGGTGAAAACGTGGAGATGTGAACCTATCCCATAGGAATTTATGATAAATGGACTGCTGTGCGTTTCTGCAAAATGCAACGGAAAACGCATAGGTGTGATCCTAGACTTATACAGTAGTTGCTGAGCCAGTGCTAACCTGCCTGAAAAGAAGGGCAGGATTTTTACTGATGTAACATTTCTCTAAACAGACATATAGGGGTTTATTTACTAAACCTGGTTGACTCAGAATCTTGTCCACTTCTGCATAAAAACCAATCAGCTTCCAGGTTTTATTGCTGAAGCTTAACTGAACATGCTGAGGTTAGAAGCTGATTGGCTACCATGCACAGGTACCCAAGATTCTGAGTCAACCAGGTTTAGTAAATAAACCCCATATTGACAGCTATAATATCACACTGCTACTTTACAAACAGAGCACAAAGTGTTTGGATAGTGAGTGAGGATATTGCCACATGACATACATCATACTGTACATCAATCAACAACATCTACATGGATGTTAGTATTTAAAAAGTTCATATTGTGAACAAATACAGACACAATGGAATTACTTGTGAAAATGCTCATCTGTCTCCTCAAGGTGTAGCAAGATCTCCTCAGCACATTCAGCAGACGGTGCAGTGGCCAGTTTTTCTTTCACGCTCTGCAGAAGTTGTCTAACCATTGTCTGTAGTGAGATTTCATCATCAACTGAAAAAGTAGCCATTGTGGACAGCTGCAAATTTCCCAAAAGCCCCTAAAACAACAAACATCACATTATTTTATGAATAGGACATATTACATGTTAATGCAAGAAAGTAAAGTTATTTCATAGACAGGGGCGGACTGACCATTTGGAAACTCGGGCACTGCCCGAGGGCCCGGGGTCAGTAGGGGGGCCCCCATGAGATGCCCCTGGTACCTTTTTCATAGGCTTTTTTGAGTTTGGGCAAGGACACAGGGGCCCCATGATCCCCTATTGCCCGGGGGGCCCCATGAGTTGTCAGTCCGCCCCTGTTCATAGAGAATATCCCCCACTTGGATTTCATCAAATAACATGGCAGATGTGAAAGACCCTTTACACCCCTTTCATACGGACATCATCCATTCAGTCACATTTTTGCTAAGAAAAAAACAGATTCAGTTTACATTAGTTCACAGCAGTTAACATTTATCTTCCGTTTTGTTCTGTTCCGTTAATATCCGATTTTTGGACTGCTTCTGTTTTTTAAATGGAACAAAAATAGAGAATTGTTCTGTTTAAAAAAAATGGACCTGAATGGAAGTGGATGAAAAACTGATATAAAAGTGGTAACATCCATTTACATCTCTTTGCCAATAGGAATGCACTGCTGTCCATTTTTCATCTGTCGATGGACGGATGAAAAATGGATGGATGGAACACCTATGTGAAAGGGGCCTTGAGAGATAAATACCCGAATAAAAAAAAAAATTTATATAAGAAAAAAATTAAAAATAGGTAAGCCATGAATAAAAAGTAGGCTTTGGCTACTCTGCTACTCTGATTTCTTGGATTTTCATTACTTTGCTTCCTAACAGCATAGATCCTGGAACTTTAAAGGCTGTGCCTTTAAAAAAAAAAAAAAAAAAGCCGGCAGAGGGTATAGGACTAGTCAACAGTATTGTTTGCATTCTACCTGCAGCTGATTGCTGACTTCCTATGACTTGTTCTGCACTGTGTCTCTGTGTGGAGGCAGCCATCTTGATATAGGCAGGGCTTTACCACATCATATTAGGGCCTCCAGCATGGAGAACAGTGAGCATCACAGTACTGATACTACCAAATTTTACTTTTTGTCAGTTGTCAAATGCAGCAGTGCCCTAGATGTCATGATGCAGATAGGCAGCTATGTGGCTGTAGGTGCAGGAATGCCGAGGCACCCTTACATTCAACCCCAATTTCAAAAAAGTTGGGACACTGTGTTAAATATACTGTACAGAAAACAGAATGAAATGATTTGAAAATCTCATAAAGCCTTTTTCATTCATAATAGAAAATGGAAAACATATCAAATGTTTAAAACAGAGAAAATTTACCATTGTAAAACAAAAAGAGAATTTTGAAAATTATAGAAGCAACACATCTCAAAAAAGTTGGGATAGGGCCATGTTTCTACTGTGTAGCATCCACTCTTCTTTTAACAACACCCTGCAAATGTCTAGGAACTGAGGAGACCAGTTGCTGGAGTTTTGGGAGAAGAATGTTGTCCCATTCTTGCCTGACATAGGATTCTACATTCTATATCATAAAATCATCAGGACCTGAATTATTTCTTAGATAACATTCCATTTCCTAACACCAGACCATGAGTAAAGATTCCACATAGAAAACCCATTTACAGAAGATGAAACTCAAAATTGCCATTCAGTCTTTCAAAACCCCAAGTAGTAAATGGCCTTCCCAAACAATTGTAATTCTCCTTTTCTCCAGCTTTAAAAGGATACAAGGCAGGGCTGGTCCCTCTGACTGTATTTACTTAATTGTGAAAAATTATTTAAATATTTGATACTTTCTCAGGTCTAAAAATTAACCTGGAAAAAAAAAATATTCTCTTTCCTAGTGGACCAACACAACACAACATTTCCCCATCTGACACCCACTTTTAATGGGTTGACAAACTGAAGTACCTAGGTAGAGATCATGATCCAAAATTCCCTCAAAGTTACATTACACTGACTCTGACCCTATTAGTTAAAAAACTATGTCAGCCAAATGTAAACTGGGGTAATTCGATTAAATCTGAGCGGCAGTAATAACCTAATTAAAATGATCTACCTTCCAAAGTTCTTGTATGTCCTATGTTCAGCCCCTTCATACATTAAACACAGGCACTTTTTTACCAATTCACACATTACTTTTTTGTTTATCTAAAATGGTAAAGTTCCACACATTAGCAGAATCAGAGTACATATGAAAAAGGACATGGGAGGCCTATCAGTACTTAACTCAGGCTCCATGCACACTGGGCATTTTGATAATGCTGGTAACATTAGCTGTGTAAAGTCACATTAACGTGAGTTTTGCAGCTTTTTTTTTTAGCATTGTTCCATTAGCATTTAGCAGTGTTATGCTGCATTTAGCTGCGTTTTCCCACGTTTGCGTTTTTTAGTGGTTTTTTTAGCAAAAAAAAATTTTTTTTGTATGTAAATAGCTTTGCAATGTTTTTTTTTTTACCAGAATCATAATTGTAGTATCATTAAACAGGATAAGTTATAGAATAAAATGTATACTTTTTTATCAACAGCTACACAATTTTTAAGCTAAAACACTAGTCAAAAGAAAAAAAAAAAAGAAGTTACTTTTTTTTTGTCAGAAAACAGCATTCTTTTTTTTATATTTTGCATAGAGTAAGGCGGGCTGTGACTTCTGCCAGTTTTTTCAATTGCGTGCCATTAGGGATATTTTCTTGTCCATAGCCAAAACAGCAAACGAGAGAAAAATCCCTTATAAGTGAGGGAATCTATGACTGTCACCAGGGCCCCCACCTATATCTCCAAACATTAAATAATTACGCTTAAAAACCTTTGCCTCTTTAACCCGTCTTTATTCTGCTATTGACCACACCTATGATAATGTCTTATCCTGTCCTGCCCTGACCTGGCCACTTCTCTGTGCAGTGGTTCTCTGTGCAGCCTAGCTCTTGAAAGACTGTGGCATAAAACCAAATCCCTGAAAACTTTCACCCTATACAAATCTGCCCTCCTAAAATACAATTCCTGTTTCCAAGCTGCCAAAGAAACATATATTTTGTTACTCTCTCTTCTCTAACATTAATGCTCTAGCCAGTAACTCATTCACTGCTTAGTAGATTGTAAATCACTTAACCACTTCCTGTCCGGACACTTTTACCCCCTTCCTGTCCAGGCCAATTTTCAGCTTTTAGCGCTATCACACTTTGAATGACAATTGCGCGGTCATGCAACACTGTACCCAAATGAATTTTTTACCATTTTTTTGAGACAGATAAAGCTTTATTTTGGTGGTATTTATTCACCACTGGGATTTGTATTTTTTTTGCTATGTAAATGAAATGTCCAAAAAATTTTGAAAAAAAAAGTGTTTTTTTTTTATAAAATTTTTGCAAATAAATAATATTTCATCATAAATCTTAGCCAAAATTTATTCCGTTATCTTTTTAGTAAAAAAAAAAAATCCAAATTAGTTTATAAGCAAAAATTATAATTTTAAACATTTTTTTTTACATTTTTATTTTATTTTTTTATATTTTTTTTTTTTTTTTTTTTTTTTTTTTTTTTACATACGGTCACCCTAGCAGTACAGTGTCACCATGGTGACACTGTACTACTTGTGGGGGGTGATGAAGATTTTTTTTTTTTTTTTACACTGATTGCTTTTACACCCATATAGGATGTAAAAGCAATCATTTCTCTTTCTCTCTGTGTGCATTCTTGCACTCATTGAGAAGTACTGAGTGAGCTGTGATTGGTCACAGCTTGTCACATGGTACAAGGCTTTTGTGAATAGCCTTGTACCATGTGACCTCTGTGATCATTCACAGATTTCACACGTAGTAAGCAATGATGTCACAAGTGATATCTTGCTTACTACTTTGCATGTGATCACTGATTGGCCAATCAGTGATCACATGATCGGGACCTCGTACAGAGGTCCCGTCCGACGATCAGTGTTTCACTGTGTCCGGAGGACACAGCGGGCACCGGATCGCGGTGCTGCTGCGCGCTCCCAGGGAGCGCGCACAAGCAGGGTGCAGGGAGGCCGTTTATAGACGGCCACCCGACCCTGCAGTGCCACCGTCCGGCCGTTTATATACAACGGCCGGACGGGAAGTGGTTAAAAAACAAGACTGATGCATTTCAGGGGACATTTCCACCACACAGATATTTACCCCACTTAACATAACCTGTCTAAAACCATATTCAATACTCTCATTTTTTGACCTCATTATACATAAGAGGTCACCAAACTTTTCTCAGAAGCCCACCTTACTACCTGTCCTTTGGACCCTGTTTCCTCATTTTCTTACTCTATCCTATGCTTCTTCACTCATACCTTCAATCTCTCCATCTCTATTGGTACCTTCTACTTAAAAAGCCCTCACTGACCCCAACCAGCTTGAACAATTTAAGACCAATCTCCTTGCTCCCATTTACCTCTAAACTTCTAGAACACCTCATCTACAGCTGCCTGAGCTCTAACTTCACCAACAACCTTCTTGACTCCTCACAGTCTGGATTTTGCTCACTGCACAGAAACTTCCCTACTATAACTCACTATTTAGTAAGCGCTAAAACCAATGTCCACTATGCTATACTCTACTAGACCTTTCTGCAACCTTTGACACTATTGACCACCCTGCTTCTCCACAAGATAGTCCACACCATTGGCCTCCAAGACTCTACTCTTTCTTGGTTCTCCTGCTACCTATCACAGTGTTACTTCAGTGTTGTCTACAATTCTGTCTCCTCCTCCCCACTTCCACTTTTTGCAGGGGTCCTCCAAGGTTCTTTAATTAAACCACTTATCCATCTACACCTCCTCCCTTGGTCACTTCATAAACTGTCACAGCATCCAATAACATGTCTATGCTGGTGACACCCAAATATATCACTCTACTCCCCATCTCACCCTTTCAGTCTCCTCTTGCATTATAAATTTAATAACTGACATATTAGTATGGATGTCACACCATTTCTTCAAACTCAGTCTCTCTAAAACAGAGCTCA